AAATCAAATCAAATCATGTTTATTTGCTCAAACACATGTGTACATACAATAAACAATAGCATGTAAGATAGCGGGTAGTAGTGAAAAAAGTTCGAGACATGTTTGCCGTATACAATGGCGTGCAAATATAGTAGTCACTCATAATGATTGCGAACTAACCGACATCTTTCGAATGTGGAACCTTATTCAATATTAGACATTGATGGAATATTGATAATAATATGTCAGAGTAACCATCATTTTACATACAAGTCGGTAAACGAGTAGACGTATCACCTGATGGTAAGCAATCGGCGCCGCCCATAGACACCTGGAACACCAGAGGCGTTACAAGTGCGTTACCGGCCTTTTGGGGATTAGGAATTTGAGTATTGTTGGGCATTCAGGGATTGGAGAGTGGGTGGAGGGGGGGGGGGATAATTGGGCCTCCGGTTTAACCCAAAATTGTTTCACGTTGGTTTTCTGCTCGACCGTGGTATCACTCCGGTCGTGCCGAAGCATGGCTCTCCCACACTAAATCTGCAGCTCTGCCGACTGTTCATAATATGTAAACATAATACATGCGTCAGTACATAGGTACTTATATACCGTGTAAATATTGTGGTCATATGCAACTGCAGTATTCTCACGACCATTTTACAAGTATTCGTAGAAAACCTTTATGTAATGGACGTCATCACACCATGTATATTTAGATAGCGAAACCTAGAATTATAAATGTAGGTACAACAAATGATTGAGTGAATAGAAATCAAAGGGTGAGTATGTATAGGAACGGAGACGACATTTTCCCAACAGTTATTCTCCCTTCTACTATGCAGTAGACTTTTTTTTAAGGGGGGAAAATCATCGAATGACTGCTCCCGCTTGGGTGAGGCGAGAGGGAGTGTCAGACTCTTACTGACTAAAAACCACCCCGTTCCTTCTCCTGTACTTCGAGCCGGAGCCCCGGTAACCCGTTAGGTTCTCCGCGACACTATGCAGTAGACTATTTGCCCCTCGAAATCTATTCACCCCATTACACCATTAGGTAGGTACCTGAATTCGTACTTTTACTGTGTTTGAAAAAAGAATATAGATTTTCTGAAACTCAATACTAACGTTATCATCTGGAATAGTATCCGATATGACTAATAAAAATCACGCACGAAGACAGAACACATGGATAGATAATAATATTTTTCTCTGTATAGCGAAATTTTATGCATGTTCACATTGTTCATACGAATTTACATTTTGGAACAAGCTTCACGTAGGTACTGGTTATATTATTGTTTGTGTGTTACTATTTTCATCTGGCATACGATGATGCAGCCTACGATGGAGCACGGCTGCCCATAAACTCATTCACATTCACCGTGATCTGAAACATACCCATGTAGGACAGATAGCGATCCCCTTCAGGAAACACGTACCGAAAAAGAATGACTTCGAATATAATTATTGATTTCTCAATTCCAGAACTATGGAGCAGTCATGATACTCACATCGTCACACTAGGGGGCAGCACTACTCCAGGATGAGCCTCACCAGGTTGGGTCAGAAAGTGGAAGGGACGGCGGGGAAGAGCGCCAAGGACTGCCCCTGTTACTTCTGCAATGAACTTTTTGAACTGGGACAGTTACAGGTACTTACTAAACTAAAGGAATACAAAGAATACTATGGAACGTGCTTCGGTACGCGGGCACGAATGGGCTTCCCAGCACGACAGCAGTCATACCATTTCTTCACAGAAAACAACACTTCAGTGACTGTATTGAGTGTTCAGTATCTGTGTTGAGTGTTGAGCGTTTGTCCCTTATTTCCAATCTCTAAATCCCCAAAAGATCGGTGTAATGAAAATAATCACTACATAGTATAAAACAAAGTCGCTATCTGCCGTCTATCTGTCCTATGCATGCTTAGATCTTTAAAACTACGCAACGGGTATTGAAGCGGTGTTTTTTAATAAATAGAGTGATTCTTAAGAAAGGTTTATATGTGTAATACATGCATATTGCACCCGTGTGGAGCCGGGGCAGATCGCTAGTTATTATATAAACTACGTTTAAAAACAGTTCAAAGTTTAAGCCTCCTTTTTAGAAGTCGGTTAATTAATGTACTCAAACTTTCTCCAAAGTATAACAAATGCTTTTCTGAAAACCCCATCAAAATCGATTCAGCCAATTGCGGGATAGTCGCGCACAAATAGGTATACACACATACAGATAAAACTGAGAACGGTCCTCTTGAAATCGGTTAATAAAACACTACTGAGGATTATCTCTTAAGTAAAATGAAACTTATTCTTTAGTGTATAACGCCTATAATATTCAACAATAGCCTTGTGAAATGTTTGGTGTCCAATTTAACAGGACTAAACTGATTTTAAAACATTCCTTAATGTAATATAATATTAGGTATTCTTGATGTAATGTAATCCAGGTCCTTTTTGGCTATGGAATTTGCATTGTACAGTCGCAACTCGATCCCTGGGTGACAGGGACCGACTTGTCTATGGGCAGATGTTTATAGAAACGAAATACCTATGCGATGAGTTCAAATGTTTTTATGAAACAAAACAAGTGAATTTATTTCTGCAAATAGGCTACAAGGCAGCACTTTCACACGTCAATTTTATCAAGCGAACGATGAGGTCGACATTTCCTAACTGACTACTCTGAGAAGAAATAAAAAAAAAAAAAAAAAAA